ATAAATAAATTTAAAAAAATGATATATAATCAGGGGTTAATGTAAATTAAATTAACTGATTGCAAATAAAAGACTATGGGCTCCTTTACCACTCATACAACCCAGTGGTTTCTTAATTGTGGACATAAGCTCATAACCATAGGCTCCTAAACAAGGTTACCTTTTACTCCATTTACATTTCTGAATAAAATATTTTGCCAAAATGATAAAATTATTGACCAAAAATTGAACTTCTTTTTTTCTTTTAAAAGTACTCCAAATTCAATGGTTTGTAAAGTAAAAGCTGCTAAGAACTCAATTTTGGATCTGGGCCACTCATTTAAGCATGCCCAAAAGTTAAATGTACGATTACAGTAAAGAAACGAATGTGGTCTCTGCCTCAGACTTACAAAAAATACAACAGTTATTATCCATGTTAAATTTCAATCGTAAGAATTCTTTTGAGGCCTAGAAATCATTCAGCATCTTGAAATGCAAATCTCTGGCTTTAAGAATTATGGGGAACAAGATGTACTATTTCTTTTTTGGCACATACTCCAACATAGAGCTGAAATCACGTCGTTATATGCGGTCATCCTCTGTTCCATTAGCTTCAGTGACTATGCAATCTATCGTTAAGAATTTTTACCACCGGCCACTAAAGGAAAAGCGCGTTCACCGGGATTTTTTTTCATAATCTAAAACAATCCACCAACTACTACAGCACGTCCTTCTGAAAGCTGAAATCTTTGTGGTTGTATCAAGGTTAATTAACGATTTTTAAGCATAGAAAAAACTACATTTCCCATGATTGCTCTGTTTTCAGCATGGCGAAATGGGCAGTACACATATTATACGTTACTGTTATTTACAAGACGTTTCTGGACTTTGGTGGTCTAAGTTACGGTGTGTTTCAGATATTAGTCTCATCAGTCTCAGCTTTTCAAACTGCAAAGTTTCAGCCATCTGCTGTTTCACTTGCAGTGGACAGTTTTCTCAACCAATACAGTGATTCTTTGTTCTCTGGGACTGGTGGACTTGTCATCCTGAGCAAATGTTTTTCTCATCTGGATCAGCATGCTGCACCAGAGAATGGATGTGATTATTCATTTCAGTCAAGTAGTGCCAAGGCCTCTAGATGACTTTTAGTTTGTGTGCCACACATGTCAGATTGTTGAAAGCAGGGGAACAATGACTCATCTGACCATATGAGTTTTTCCGTTGCTCACTAGACAACTGCAGTTCTGACAAAGCTGGTTGGGCTTTAAAATTACAACTCAGCCTACTGTAACCACAGGATCCCTCTGTTTTAAAGAATCATATAACTATTTTTACGTATTTTATTTAAACAAACAACAAACCACTTACACTGGTTTTGTTTTTCCTTCCTTCTAGGCATCCATTGATAACTCTGCATTTCAGTATAATGTACAAATCAACTTGCAAAGACCTTGAACTTGTTTTGGGGAAAGTAACCTGTAACCCATCACATCTGGCATGGGACATTCAGGTGCTGGTGGGAATTTACAGCTTTAAAGATTTGAGAGCTGGCCATCTCAGATGCATGTATAGTTCATGTTTTTGTAGAATCAACTGAGAGAAGGCAAAGAGGGAGGTTGTGAAAAGAGATGTTTGACAGCCAATTCTCAGCACTTGCATATGAAGGTGCTTTGACAAAAACATGCACCCTAGCATGTAATATACAAAATATATTTGTTAATCATAAATAATTAAACAAATAAAGGTGATGTGGTAATTATTGTTATTGTTAATGTTTACTTCACTTGAGCATTCTCTGCAAGTTGATTTTCATTCCATAATGTTATGCAGTTCATTGTAAACTATGTAAAGGAAACTCAAGCATGATTCTTGGTTTTGTTATATTTTTGACATGTCAGTCTTGATCAACTGCCCTGCATTTGCATGTATTGTGCTAATTTTTCACACTTAGAAATTATTGGCATCGGCAGTTTGTAGAAAGGTAACACAGTGGTGGTTGGTATGCATTATTCTGCATTCAGTTCAGGAAATCTAAAAGAAGATGCTGCACTACACTGAACTGATGACCACATCATCAGTCATGTGCCTTCCTAAAATAAACAAGAGAATTCTGAATGTTCTGAGTTTGTCTCATTAACAAGGAAGGACTGTTGGAAGTCTGCTCAGGTGAATATCGAGGCTTCAGTAACACACTTATATTTACACTATTTGATGTGATGCTAAAGTTTATAGCTATAGAACCAAAAATCTGTGTAAAATGGGGCTGTGGTTTGATACATAAATTATTTAGAATATTTATGTCTGAAAGAATGCAGCTTTATTAATATTGTGTCTTGGATTCCAATTTGTCAAGGTCAAAGGTCAAACAGTTTATTTGTCATATGCACAGTAAGGAAACATGTTTCCTTGTACAATGAAATTCTTACTTTGCCGTCCACATGAATGCCACACAATACAAGTAAAATATAAAGTAGATAAATGAGTAACACAAAATCTAAAACACTTTAAAACTGCAAATGAGAGAAGTATAATAAAAATATAATATAATGAATAGAGAACGTATGCTACATGGGAGCTGTATTTGCAAATACTCAGCAGTGAATGTACAATTATTCATGTGTAAACTGAGAATGTAAACAGTGCAGGTGGAATTACATGAAGTAGTTCCTGGTAATAAACTCCTGTCAGCTGTTTAGGAGTCTGATGGCAGTTGGAAAGAAAGAGTTTTTCAATCTAGAAGTCCTGCATTTCATACTTCTGAACCTCCGGCTGGAGGGTGGAGGTGTGAACAGTCCATGCTGGGAGTGGGTGGGGTCCTTGAGGATGGAGGCAGCTTTCCTGCGGACTCTGTGGTTGTAGATGCTCTGCAGAGAGGGCAGTGGAGTCCTGGTGATCTTCTCCACAGTCTTTACCACTCTCTGCAGACTGTCAGGAATCGGCGTGTAAAGCTGCCGATGATATCACGAGGTGAATTATAGAGCCAGACGAGGATAAATAAAACACTGTCTCTTTAATAACATGATACAGAAAACTATGTAACTCGAAACATACTCTCAGGTCCTTAATACAGTCCAGGGTCAGAGCCAGCAAACTTACACAGCCAAGGGATCCACAAACGAGCGGTCAGAGAGGGGGGTCAGATAATCCATACAAAGAAAAACAGGATCAGAATCAGAGGGGTTAGGCAAAACTTGGTGGTCACAAGGTAATCCGTGGTCAGAGCTGGAATAACAGGTACAGAAAATGCTGGAAAGTCTGAACATAAGTTAGAACAATCTGGCAGCTTTCCGATGGGGGAAAGCTGCCTATAAAGGGGTGAAAACAATGAGTGCTGATTACAGTAAAAAGTTCGAAACTAAGGTGAAACAAATAGTAAGTAGTGTCAGAATAAAAGCATGAGAACGGGAACAGGCTGGACAGAATCATGACAGCAGTCACTTGCAGTCCGTGACAGTAGCGCTGCCATACCAAACGGTGATGCATCTGGTCAAGATGCTCTCAATGATGCAGCTGTAGAAGTTGTTGAGGATCCTAGGTGACATGCCAAACCTCCTCAGCCTCCTCAGGAAGTACAGCCGCCGTTGGGCCTTCATGACCAGCTGTGTGGTGTTAAACAATAGGCACAGAAGAGATCCAAGCTAAACGCTAACACCAGCATGCTAACATCAGAATAACAATGCTACTGATATTTTACAATGTCTCATGTTCATCACTGTAGTTTAGTGTTAGCATGTTGACATCAGCTAATAAGCACAAAACACAAGGTGAAGTTGAAGCAAACAAGAATGTTATTAGTTTTGCAGGGCCAAAATTGGTTATAAACAACTTTAGGCTACATTTTGACCTGATGGTGGTGTTACTATAGGTGACCAGTCAAGGGATTGAAATTATGACAGTTACCATAAACATGTACAAAACTGCTGAGACATTTAACCAAAACCACAAAAGTCAGCCTCATGGTGGAGCTAAATCATTACATAAACTATTTTGTATCAACTTGCCTATTTACCGGCTTTTTCTGCATACTGCATAATGTTACACATTGCATGTGTGTGAGGGTATAAGAGGGATGACAGGTGGGCGTGTTGGTTTGGTTTTGTTGGCGGGCGATGGTGAAGTTCGGGGAGATGTGTTGTTTATTCTTTTATTATTTTCTTTAGAGAGCACATGGTGCCAGTTTGGACAGCGTTTCCATTTGTCTCCATACTGCGTTGAATAAAACCACAAAAGACAAACCAGGTGTTCTCCTCCTTGTTGAGCCAGGTGCCGGCACACTGCTGGCTAGTTAACTGTCCAGTATAGGACAGGGTCAGGCCAGCTCCCCTCAACCGAGCCAGCGGTCGTCACAATATGAACAATAAAGTCCAAGCAATAAAAAACGTATTGGTGTTAAGGTTACATTAGCTACAAAATGATGATGCAGAATAAATGAAGCTTGAAACATACAGTATCTGTTTGCATTCATGTGCTGAGTGGGGTAAAGTTTCATAATGCAATAAATAATCAAAGATCAAAGACTTTTTATTGTCAATTCACTATATGTGCAGGACATACAGAAACATCAAAATACTGTTTCTCCCTCACCTAATGATGAACATGCAAACTAAAATAGAATAAAAAGTAGAATAAACCGAATAAATAAAATATGAAAACTGAATTCAAGTAATAAGGATAAACCAAATGGTACTACCTAATAGGCTATGATAAAACTCAAAGCCATGTGCAAACAGTGACAGTAGTGCAAATAATAACAAGATTATTTACAAGAAATATGTGTAGTGTAAGTACAGAGTTAGACTGCCAGTATTAAAACTTTTATTCTCAGTGGCTGATGTTGTAACAGAGGTCTGAGCACAGGTTGTATGGTGTGACAGCCTCTCTATTCTATGATTGGTTAATCATCAGACTGGCTACTGTTCTAGAATTCCCTACAGTGTCATGCCTAACCAATCGACGTGAAGCTTCAACGTCTGGTCCCGCCCTCTGTGCAATATTACACAATGAGTATGAAGTACGAGAGGGGAGGAGCGATCAGCTAGCACCGAGCACCTATCGCATTGAAGGGTGATAAGGAGCGATCAGAGCAGGGTTTTGACGTTGGAATAATCAATACCCTGATTTCGCGTAACTCAGCTATAAGTTGCAATGCAGTTACAAAGTTAGGAACTGTACCAGGTGTCTTGGATCTAGTCTATCCAGAAACCATGGCCCTGTTGCTGTATTTTGGAGGCTTGATCGTTATGTTTCTGCTGTGGATCAGAGTCAAAGGTCTAGACTATGTGATCATTCACCAGAGGTGGATATTTGTGTGTTTGTTTCTGCTGCCACTGTCCTTTATATTCGATATGTATTATTATGTGCGAGCATGGCTCATTTTCAAGATGTGCTCTGCTCCCAAACTGCACGACCGACGCGTGGCAGACATCCAGCGACAGGTGAGCAAACCTCGGTCTTCGTGCGCTGGTGTCTCTCTGTGTGTGTGCACCTTTGTATTACTTACATCATGAGGACCGAAACTTGTTAACACACTCACACTGTGGGGACTCGGCCATCCTTATGGGGACCAGAAGCTAGTCCCGCAAGGAAATCACTGAATTTTAGGGTGGCAACATGGTTTAGGGTTAGCATTTAGGTTAAGTATTAGGGTTAGGTATTAGGGAAGTAGTGGTTATGGTTAAGGTTGGGATAAGTCTACAGGAAGTGAATGTAAGTCAATGTAAAGTCCCCACAAGGAATGAAAACCCAGCGGTGTGTGTGTGTGTCGTTTGATGGCTATTCTCATACTCTATGCTGAAATCATTTTCGGGACACTGGTACTAAAACATACAGAAACACAATCTTGCCTAAAAGTTACAGTATCCACATGTACTTTAATTTACTATATATATAGTTAATGTTCCAGTATTTCAACCAGCTGCACAAAATGATTTCCATATACCCTTATGTAGAATAATCAGTATTATGTATTAAGATAACATTTCTCAGTTACAGATTGTACAACAGGTTATACAATCTGTAACAAGGAATCAAGGGTACTGTCAAGGAATCAAGGGTAGTGAAAAAACTGACACTAGCTATTTGTGTTTCAAGTAGGATAGTGATATGAAGTAATGTCAATAATTCATAGATTTTTAAGCAACTTAGACACAGGTGCAATTGCTTTATACTCTTGCCTCACCCTTCAACAATTAACATAACTGTTAATAATCACAATTATTTTATATCAACTTACCTTTTTGACTTATTTTAATGGTAGTGGATTATGTTTTATACATATCAAGGACTCAGAGCATAGTCTTTTGAGAACAACCTTATATTAGTCCTAAATATCAAAGCATACATTTCTATTAATTCACTACCATTATAGAGACCCATAGTTGTAGCAATAAAATGTATTAAACATTTCTGAAGTGTTGTCATGTCTAAAAATCAATTATTGTACAGCCCTTATATTTCTCCTGTAAGGACCCTGTGAGAGTGGTGCCATGTGGAAATATTCCACATCAGATTTTACTATATATCTATATGCAAAATAAATTTCAAGGAGTAAACACTGTCATTTCCCTGACACAGCTGAAACTTTGGTAAGGTTCAGTTTTGTTCTAGTCTGAATATATCTCTGTTTATATACTGTATATCATTTCTTTTTGCAGTCTGATCATTTTCTGACTGTAGAGAGAGAAAAAACCCTGAGAGCATCCAGTCAGACACCTAATATATTGGTTCCTAAAGGGGTTTGGTCAGAGGAAAAATCAAACTAGCCACAGGTCTGAGAGAACTTCAGCCCATTATTTGGACTCTAAAGGAATAATGCCTTTGACCTCCATGAATGACCACAGTCTTTTCAAAAAGCCATGACAACCATCATCTGATGGCTGAATCCTCAAGAGTAATTTGTCCTCTGTATCACACATTCTAGGTGCGTGAGTGGAGGAAGGAGGGCGGCAAGACCTTCATGTGTACAGGTCGACCCAGCTGGCTCACTATCTCTCAGAGAATTTCCAAATACAAGAAAACGCACAAGAACATCATGATCAACATGATGGACATTCTGGAGGTGGACACAAAGAGACAGGTAGAAGAACTAAATGAACACAAGTTGTTCCCAGATGTTTTGCAACTTTGTGAACTATCTCAAAAATTAAAATATGGATAAAGATGTTTTCTGTCTGGCCATTTGTTTAACCATTTGCAATCAGTTTTACTCATGTTACTCAGTTCTTTAAGGTGTCCAAGAGCTGTTATGCTTAAAAGGAATGCAATATTAATATATTAATATTATTAATTACACCTGTGTTTACTGTTGAGACACATCTCCTGTGAAACAAGTCCATTCAAATAACATGAGCTTTTCACCGGGTACCACAGACAAACAACCTTAGAAAAGAAAAAAAGCATTTCAGCTCTTTGCACTGACCTGGTTTTCTGCATTAGTGTGATCTGATCTTTAAAAGTCACAAGAACAGACTCGCTGTGCTTAAGCTAAAAACACACAAACAGTTCTAATCATCAATCTTTATTGAACACACCGAATTACATTCATTATTTTGATTTATTTTACCAGGAAGTCCCATTGAGACAAGATCTCTTTTTCAAGGGAGACCTGGCCTAGATGGCAGTCATACAGATTTACAACATATAAAATTTATTCTTGTTAGCCACTAAGAGAGAAAGCCATGTATCTTGATAATTTGTTAATGGTGAGTAATAGGAACTTGTGATACATCTTGCAGTAATTCATCATGAGTCACACATTAGTTAAACATCACTTAATTATATGACTTGTAGCCTTAGTATACAGTGTTATAATTCATCTGTTTTCACTTTAACTATTACTGTTATTTTTATTATAATCTTTTGGGTGGGATTTTGTTTAATGAGCCTGATGGCTCTAAGATGGGAGGAGGTGTAGCCTTGTACATAGATAATAACTTCTGTTATGAAAAAGTTGAGAACATGTCAAGGACTGTTGATAACTTGCTGGAGTGTGTGACTGTAGAAATTTCCATGGAAAAAAAGAAAAAGGTTGTAATAAGCTGTATTTATAGCACATTAGAAATAATAATACAATTGAAAAGAACATGAGTTCTATGTTCTTGAAGCCCATAGTTGAAAAGGAAATTATAGAGATAGTAAATAAATGTGTACTTAAATTATTTATTTCTCCTAAGGTGGTGAGAGTTGAGCCGCTGACTAACATGGGTCAAATAACAGCTTTCCTCAACCCTGTTGGCTGGACTCTCCCAGTGCTGCCTGAGCTGGATGATCTCACTGTGGGTATGTTGTTCACACTATAATGAAGATTATTTTCATGGAAATCATCACAGACTGGCATCATGTGTGGTTATCTGGTTTCTGGAAACAAAGAGATGCACTGATGGTTTCCACAGCTCCTTATTCAGTGACGTAGATGATGCATCTCCTCCATCAATCACTATATCCTGTTTAGAGCCTCAGCAACTTCTCTGATTGTATTAGAGGATTGATGTTGTAGCTCAAAAGATGAAACTGGGAGGAAATGGCTGCAGTGTTGGAAGCACCCTTTGGATCAGATTTCATAATGGATTTCCTGATGCCATAAACTGTGCATCAGCAAGCTAATGTTTTCCCATCAGCCCACGGTACATTCATTTATCCTGATGTCCACACAGATACACTCACTGCCAGCAGGTAAATGCTGCCTTCTGCTCATGTGTTTGCATACTGTTGGTCTCACCTGGGTAAAAACCAAATTACTAAGATGTATTCTCTTTTCTCTCTCAGGTGGTTTGATCATGGGTACAGGAATTGAGTCATCCTGTCATATCTATGGGCTTTTTCAGCACACCTGTGTCGCATATGAACTGGTTCTGGCTGATGGTAGCTTAGTTCGCTGCACTGAGGTCAGTACTGATTGTCTGAGTCCACGGACATGCATAATGAACTAAGCCCGCTGTCTTTGTTGTTGCTTCAGGTATTCTGCTAACTCACGTTTAACCAGGGATCACCATAGTAACACCATCACCACAGACTGTGTGCTTTACCTCTCTGCCACAGAAACTGTTGTACATTGCTTTTAATAGTTTATTTCACTCTAGACAATTGATAATGCTAATTATATTTAAAGAGTGTAAATTTACAAATATTTGGATATTACTTCTAGTTTGTATGGCTTCTCATTCTGTTCTAGTTAAGTGAATGCATGGCATTTATTTTACCTCACAGAGTGTCCTTATTTTCTGCTGCAGCAACCTCATTTCCTCATGGTACAGTATGACCATCTTCTCATGTCATGTTCTTCACTCGTGGTTGTCGCTAGTAATTAAAAACTCTGCCTCTTTCACATGAACTTGCTCATAGCTGGATGAGATAACCAGCTTTGATACTGACTGTTCAGTAATCTCCAAAGACTCAGTGCAGCCAGGTCAGGGACTGTATGAAAAAGATTAGGGAAGGGAAGCAGGTGTAACCTTTCACCCTCCAGGTTTATTAAGATTTGCTTCACTTGAAAAGTAGTGCACCACCCTCCTCCCTAACTTCTCCGTTTTCATTTCACCTTAGGAAATGTACAGTAAATGTACTGTCAACTACAAAAAACAAAAACTATTAAGCTATGTAGATGCAGCTGCAAATGCAAGGGTTACACAAGTATTTTAGTACACAGAGAACATGTGGCAGTCTGCGCCTTATCAGATGGGACACACCGCTTGTCCGACAGGGGCAGCAGAAGTCACTGGCCCATACTCCAAGTCAGATCAGGTGATGAATTAAAATGGAAACAGAGGAAGAGTGCATTATTTTTGCTGCTCCTAAATCACTACTGAAAAAAGGGGGCAGAAGATGGTACAGCCATCCAAAAATGCACCTCACTGCTTGCTGTTGCCATTTTGTGTGTGTGTGTGTGTGTGGTTTTTTTACACCGGAAATGGTTCTTCTGTAAACAAAGGCTTCAGAATAGAGTGACAGCACAGTATTTTCAGAGTATGAAAGAGCCCTTACCGAGACACGATCATTTGCATACATACACCAATCAGCCATAACATTATGACCACTGACAGGTGAAGTGAATAACATTATCTCATCACCTGTCAGAGTGTGGGGGATACTAGGTAGCA